GTTCAACCTGACCCCCTTTGAAATTCTCTATGGTGCCCCTGCCCCCTTGACTTTACTGGGGGACGTTTTTGAACCCACTTGCCACAGTAACAGTGACTTATATGCCAGGTTAAAAGGACTGCAAATGGTGCAGAAGGAAATCTGGACACAGCTGGCGGCCGCCTATGAACCTGGGACCCCCGAAGTTTCTCACCAGTTCCAGGTCAGGGACACGGTCTATGAAGGACAACATCGCTCCCAGGCTCTGGAGCCCCGCTGGAAGGGGCCTTACCTGGTGCTCCTGACAACACCAACGGCCGTAAAAGTAGACGGGATCACCGCTTGGATCCACGCCTCGCATGTAAAGCTTGCACCACCAGGATCAGAGAACCAAGGATCAGAGGACGCCACCTGGAGAGTCCAGAGTTCCAAGGAGCACCCCTTAAAACTTAAAATTGTTCGGGCACCTAAGGTGTTATAAGATGAAGGCCGTTTTATTCCTTCTGTGCCTGGAAGTCTTTCCCATGAGCCTGGGAGCTTCCACCCCACATACCCCTAGAAAGTTAACTTGGTACATTATAAATGGGATAGGAAATACAATCTGGAACTCATCTAAAATCACCACAGGGACAGGGACATGGTGGCCTGACCTGTACCCTGACATATGTAAATTAGCTATGGGGGCTCCTGCCAACTGAGACCTAGAGGCATACAGTGATATCTCCAAGCCCCCTAATACTCCCAGTCAGGAGTGTCCCTATCCCGGGATAAATCCATGGGGAGGTTGCTCCACACCGTTCCAAAGAAGCATGCTACGTGCTCTCACTTTTTATGTATGTCCTGGACCTCACCGTAACAGGGCATTAACTTACAGGTGTGGAGGAAAAGCAGATTATTTCTGCAAAAACTGGGGCTGCGAGACCATGGGGGACGGATATTGGAATCCCTCATCATCCTGGGACTACATAACGGTAAAGGCTAATTATACTCATCAAGGGACAGAGAGTAATGGGTGGACAAACATCCCCAAGTGTGGCAGGTGGTGCCACCCCCTCAAAGTTTCTTTCACAGAAAAAGGGAAACAGGCTATGGGTTGAGACAAAGGATATATGTGGGGATTAAGGTTTTATAAAGAAAGGTATGATGATGGGCTATTGCTCACCATCAAACTCAAGGTAGAAATTCAATATACCGCCATAGGCCCAAATGAATACTTGGCTCCAGTGGTCAAGCCAAGGACTACCCCAACGCCCCTAGGTATCCAGTCAGGGTCCTCGGTCCCCACACTGAGGAAAATAACTCAGCCCCCTGAACCTAGGCTTCAAAAACAACCTGGGTTATTCCGCTTAATCTCTGAAGCCTTCAAGGTCTTAAATAGTACCAACCCCAATGCCACCCACTCCTGCTGGCTTTGTTATGATGTTGCTCCCTCATATTATGAAGGAATAGCCTTCAGAAATGGAATTAATACTACAACTGATGTCTCCAACTGTCACTGGCAGCAACGACAGGTCAAACTCACTCTGTCAGCTGTTGCGGGGCAAGGAACATGCGTGGGAAAGATCCCCTCCTCACACAGCCAGCTGTGCAACCAGACTCTTAACTTGACTGAGTGGTCTGGTGACACATATCTGTTGTCCCCTCCAGGGGGATGGTGGGCCTGCACTACTGGGGTTACACCCTGTGTTAGCTCAAAGGTCCTGAAAGAGACCCGGAATTTCTGTGTCTTGGTTCAGTTGCTGCCTCGGCTTGTTTACCATCCCTATGAAGAACTATTATCATATTGGGATAAAAATAATGGGTATAATTACCGAACCATAAGGGAACCCATAACTGTCACGCTCTCTGTCCTTTTGGGCTTAGGATTAGGAGCGGCTGGAGCAGCTACAGGAATTTCAGCTTTGGCTGTTCAGCATCAAAATTACCAAAGTTTACAGGCAGCCATAGATGCTGATATTAAAGAAATAGAAAATTCAATTACTAAGTTACAAGAGTCCCTCACCTCTCTTTCTGAGGTGGTCCTACAAAATAGAAGGGAACTAGACCTCTTCTTCCTTCAGCAGGGGGGGCTCTGCACTTCACTAAGAGAAGAATGTTGTTTTTACATTGATCACTCAGGGGTAGTTAAAGACTCCATGGCCAAAATTAGGGTAGGCCTGGCCAAGAAAAAAAAAAAGGAGAACAAAATCAGGGATGGTTTGAGTCATGGTTCAACTCCTCCCCATGGCTCATGACCCTCATGTCTACCCTGCTAGGACCATTAGTTATTTTAGTATTGCTTCTGACCTTTGGTCCCTGCATTTTAAATCTCTTAGTAGCTTTTGTTAGAGAACGTATTAGTACTGTCCAAATTATGATGTTAAGACAACAATATCAGGAATTAAACCAACAGGAATCAGTATTTTATGATTGAAATACCCACAAGAAAAAGAGGGGAATGTGGACCTGAATGGACCTGAACCTCTTCCCCACCCTTAAAAATTAACTGACTAGCTTTTCTGCTTCTGTAATTAGCTTGTGCAAGGTTTTACAGGCCCCTGTGGGTGGGACTTTCTTGTAAGGGCAGATAAAGGACTTTCCAAACCACCCAAAGTTCACCCAGTTCTGGGAAGGGCCTAACCACACAAGGGGTGGGCTGTTGGGCAATTCCCCAGGTCCTCGTCTGTACACCACCCCACTGAAAGCCACCAGTGAATTTAAAAGTCACCTCAGGTGACCAATAAGCTGTATACAACTCATCCTGTTGCCAAAGTCTGCCTACCAAACTGTATAAAAAGTGCTTGTGTTAAGAGCTCAGGGCCGCTTCTGTCCTGAGAAGGGAGTGACCCCAGCATGCTGGAATAAAAACCTCTTGCTTGATTGCATCGATCTCTGTCTCTTGGTCTCTGTGAGATGTGCCATCTCGGCCAATAGGACTTACACTATTGGTGTAGTCTTACAGTGTTTCCTGGAATCCACCAAGTGAAGACGTGCAATACTGCACCTGAAAACTCCACATGTGATGCTCTGCACCCTTGGACATTCAGGGTGCTTCTCTGTGTCAAAGGGACCCCCAGGCTCAGTCCTCCAGAGGAGGTTGGCATGTTCCAGTCTCACTGACATGATTGCAAACAGCAGAGTCTCTGCCAGCCTGAATTGAGCACGTGCTTTCTCAGCACCGTGTCCTTGGAGTTCATTATCAAAGATGGTTTCACAGCTCACACCTGCTGTAGGGCTCTTCCCAACAATCTCTCATCTATAAATGAAGAGTATGTGGTCAAGGAGATGGGTTTGGAATTGAACCCAAGGAGGAGAGTCCAGAGAATAGCATTCCCCTAAACTGCACAGCAAAGGAAGACCCACGTGCCCTACTTTTCCTGGTTTGCTTTTGAGGGGAGAGGGAGATCTTTTGGACGTACCTTCATTAGGTTCATTTTATTCACAACAGTTATATCTATTTAATGTCATTTAAAAATGTATTTGCTGGTCGCTTTTCTGTCCCCCACCACAATACAGGCACCTTTTTTCCCTTGACTATCTCAGTCTCCTCAACCCCCGTGACCACGCTTTGGGCATCTCAGCTCTCCAAAAACATTCGGGCATCTCAGCTCTCCAAAAATATTTCCTGAGCAAATTAAACAAGAGTTTTCCTCCTTTTGGAAAAGTGAGATTAAATTCTTGCTCACTGAAAAAACCACCCAAGAGAAAACGTGGGTTTAATCAGCCATGGGTGACGAAGCCACTGTTTGTAGCAAGAGACTGTAAAATGACAAGTTGCGACTGTTGTTGGATGGGAAGGGGTGGAGGGAGGCTGGGATCTTGCAAAGCCACAGACACGTTGCCCGTGTTAACCTGATCTTGAGGGGCAGGAGCAGGCTGAACTGTGTATGGATGTGACGGCACCAGCTGCTGTTCCAAGCAAAGGCCCTGCCGCCCACCCGTGTGTCCTCCAGCATAAGGGATTTTAGTCAGGAGACCTGGAGCCTCCACAGTTTTGTGAATTCCCCAAAATTTTCTGCAAGTTTCCCTGGGGACTGAGCCTACAAATTTAATCTGACCCCCTCTGCCACACATCTGGACAAGCTAATGTGGGGACCCACTTGGAACCCCAGAGTTGGTAACAAGATTATTTTAAGCTAAAAACATTTGAGATTCAGGAGATGCAGACAGAAGCCTGTTAGGAGCTTCCCTGATCTGACTAAAGGCAGACACTTCTGGGAAACGAGGCTGCATAAATCCCCTTCAGGGAAGTTTCTACTCTCGGGAAAAAGACAGAGTCCCTCTGGAGGATTAGGATTCTGTGTCATCAACGGCAGCCACACCTGACACCTGAGACTTTCTACTTTGAGCTCCAAAGCTTTTCTGTCACTCTCATTTGTTCCACCACAAATTTATACCACCTGACGCCCTCAGTGTGGTTCAGCAACTTTCAATCCACCAAATATCAAGTTTCTGGGACATTTTCCCGTCAGCTGTTGCATATGCTACTGTCTCCTTACTCACCCTAACCCCAGCCCCATTTCATCATTGTCACAAAGCCTTAATCTCTACTTCTCAGGAACACAGGGGGAATGCTCTTGCTTCTCTTCACTTGTAAACATATTGTTTTACCTCACCCTACCTTCTCTCCTTCCCTTTCTCCTAGTTCCAAAGGAAGAAAAGTTCCCCTATTTTCTATGTCAAGTTTATCCTTCTAGGACTTAATTCAACCAATTTTTTTTTCTATAGTATTTTTCATCCTCTCTCTCTTTCTATGGAATAGGCTCCCTCAGTTTGTAAGCATGCTCAATCCTAACATCCTTTGAGGATAGAGGAGAAGTCTCCCTCCCACCCACACGCACTGATGGAGAGTCCCAGTGCTCCCTCCTGTGGCACTGGCGGGAGAGTCAGTCCACACGAGCCCGTTCACAGAACCACCATCCAGCCCACCCCCGAGCACAACAGCCCAGCCGGTCTCCTTCCCTGGCTCCCTCAAGCTGTTTGGGGGCTGCCTGGGAGGCCCACCCCCCTCTCCCAGTGTAAGTAATACACCTTGTGTTTCCTGTCCTCTTGGTGAGCGTGTGGCCGCACCAGCCTTGACGTCAAAGCCTAACCTTGCTGGGGTCCCTCTGCTTTTGCAGAGCCCATAACAGCGCACTGACCAGTCTTCTCTAGTGATACTCCCTCCTGTGCTGACTTCATCCTGTCCTGTGGCTTTAAATAACACCTCAGTGCTCCCAAGTTCACAAGGTGCTTAGAATTCAATATCTGAGTTATCTCAAGGTTTAAATTTAAGCAGAGTTTTTCTCTTACTCTTTTCCCAGATCCCAGTAAACTGGCACATTTACCCAGTTTAAGGCAAAGCCTGAGAATTCATCCTTTTGGATTTTTTTTTTTTTTTTT